TCGTGAACTCGTGTCCTGAGTGTGCTGCTCTCAGGGGCCCGGAAGCTCATGGACCTCCCCACACAGCTCAAACGCTGGTCTCTTCCATTGGGCTGATCCAGAGCAGGATCCTTCCTAATAAAACTGTAACCACAAGGAAAAAAAAAAAAAAAAAAAGAATCCTACAGATCAGTAATTACCCAAACCAGTTTTTACTCAAACCATGGGTTAAATGTCAAGCACTTCAGTATCATATTGCACATAAACTATCTTTGTTTTTTTGTCTTTTTCTCTTTCACGTATCCCTACACTCCCAGGATACATACCTAGTATGTTCCAATTATTCTTCTAGGGGTGGGAGATAGAGTAACAAAAGTATAGAAAGATCACAGTTCCAAATAGAGGAGAAAAATTTAATATACAAGTAAGATAAATTCAGGTGATGATGACTGCTATGCACAAAATAAAATAGTGGATGAAACAGAGGAATTGAGGTAGGTCTTAGATTGATTTTCAGAAGGTGTCTCTGAGAAGATGACATTTGGGTTGAGACCTGAATGAAAACAGCAAGCCCAGCATGAAAGTCAGAGGGCAGAGAGCTCCAAGCAAAGGGAAAAGCAGATGCAAAGCTTCAAGAGTGGAAATAAGTTGGTGTTTTCCTGGAACTTAAAGTATCCTAGTGTGGTTAGAGCAAAGTCAATGAGGAGGAGCAAGAGATAGCAATTAAGACTGGAGAGAGAGAGGGAGGCAGTGACCATATCATGTAGAGACTTGTATGGAGCTTGGATTTTATTCTAAGTGCAATGAGAATCCATTGGAGGATTTTGAGCAGAAGGGTGCCATGAATTTTAAAGGATCACACTGTCTGTTGTGTGGAGAATGGCTAATTAGGGAGCAAAAGTAGAACCAGACAAACCATTAAATAGACTATTGCATTAGCCCAGATGAGCAAAGATTTCTTGAAGTAGGGTAGTAGCAATGCAAATGAGATGTATTTTGGAAAGAAACAACAGGGTTTTCTGATGAGTATGGTATGGGAGCTGAGAGAAAGACAATTAATGATAATTCCTAGGTTAGCTTAATCAACAGATTGGATGTGATGCTATTTATCAGTATGAGAAAGACTGGAGGAGGAGGATGGGAGGACAATAGGAAGATGAGAGGACATTATGTTCTGAGACCCAAGTGGAGGAATCAAATAAACACTCATATATATAGATTTGAAGACAGGAAGAAAGATAAAGACTGGGGACTGTTTGCTATAGATGACATTAGAAGTTACGGGACTGGATAGATCACCTAGAGAGATAAAGTTGACAGGAAAGAAGGGATGACTTAGGACCAAACCCTGGGAGATACATATATTTTGACATTTTTTAGTTTATAAATTATAAGTTTTTTAGTTACCTTATGTTTTGAGAAGTGGGCATATTCAGGAAGCTTCAGTATCCTCTGAGAATTTACAGATCACCGTTCTGGGGGAAACCAAAGAACAAAATTAAAAGATCAGGCCAAAATTAGATTTTACAATCATGTTCTCAGTCAAAGGGGTTAACTCTGTGAGGGCAAAGATCTGAAGTCATAGGACTCAGAAGAAGTACAGCTGGCATATTTTCTGCTCCCTTGTCATTTTCTATAAAGAATTACCATTTATATTAAAGCATAACACTTGATATTCTGAGAACAAAACTGAAACATCATTATACTGATCAAGGCAAGGAAATTCAGCAAAGTTATCCAGATCGTGCACTAAGCAAAACTTTATGCTAAGAGATCTATTAGAAGAAATGCTTCATTGCCTCAGGTATTTAGGGACTTCTTTTAAAATGCTGCTACTATTGTAAAGCATATAATAATCAATACATTCCAATCTGAAAATTTGTTGCAGCAGTTAAAATAATTTAATAGAAACCCAGTAAATCCACAATAATGAAATTTACCAGCATAAAAATATCCATCTATATATCTATGTATTTGTCTATCACCTAGTGCACTGATAGTATTACTCACAATCGATCGTATTATCCTCCAAATTTGATCTTTAAACAGCTTACATATCTTCAAAATGTTTTCTTTTTCATTTCTTTTTTTTTTAAAGATTTTATTTATTTATTTGATAGAGAGAGTGAAAAAGCATAAGCAGGGGGAACAGTAGAGGGAGAGAGAGAAGCAGGTTCCCTGTCAAGCAGGGAGCCCGATGCGGGGCTCGATCCCAGGACCCTGGGATCATGACCTGAGCCGAAGGCAGACGCTTAACCATCTG